TAGATAGATAGACAGATAGAGAGAGAGAGTGAGTGAGAAAGAGGGACAGGGTGGGAGGGAGGGAGAGAGAAAGAGAGTGGTTCCTTCTTCGGCTGGGTAATATCTCGTTTAGAAAGATTACAGGTTGGGTGAACAGGCTGCCAATGTATAAAACAAACATCGTTAAGCGAGCCCTATACTTAGAGGGGGCCCAACGCTCTTCTGGGCCCTGGAGAGCACCCAGGGGCATTATGCGAGTTTTTCTTCGTCTTCTTCTACGTCTTCCTCTTCTTCTTCTCCTTCTTCTTCCTCTTCTTCTTCTTCTCGTCCTGTGCGTGCGGTTGGCCACTGGCACAGGTCAGGAACGAACAGCGAGAGGGGTAGGAGATAGAAGGGGGAGGGATGGCGAGAGTGTATTGAGACGTAGACCACCGGACGCAGATTGGGCCAGCCGCAATTTCCGCGCGTGTAATTATCCGTGATCGTCGTCCGGCGTCGTCCACGTCGTCCTCTCTCGAGGCCTTAACTCGATGCTTATTATTTAGCGACGGAGATTGATTTAGAGCGGGGCACCCGGTCTGGATATAATCAACCTGGCCCGCGTCTGCTACGAGTATTTTTGGCCTTTCGAGGATTGCTCTGGGATGAGTGGAAGTGAGTGACAGTATTGGTACGTCGAGTTAGGTGAGGATTTTTGAGGGACGCCTTATTTCGATACTTTGGAGTGTATTTTAACTGATTATTGAGGATTTGAAGGTTGTCTTGTAGTATTCTAGATTCTAATATATCAAATCTGGGATTCAGAGTTGAACTAAGTGGAAAAGGAAGAATGGGCGCTATTGGCAGGTTCCTTTTGGTGTGTATTTTAATTGATTTTTCAGGACTTCGAGGTTTCTTCGTAGAATTCTGGTAGCGAAGTATAAAAGGAGGTACAATGGAGTGAAAGATGCTTCGTGTATCATTTAAGTAAATTTTTGAAAGCTTTAGATTATTCGAAATTGTGAAAAGCTAATTTTAGCACTCTTTGAAGGATATTTTCGGTGTTTTTGAAGAGTACATAGCACAGGTTCTGCATTTTTAGATTATTAAGGCATCGAAGGTTTCATATTACCTATCTAGGGTCCATTATATATTCAGCATCTTAATAATGTGGAAAAGTAATTAGATAGAAGGAAGAACATCTTCTACTTCACCTGTTAGATAAATGTCCAGGAGTCCCTTCTTGTTGGAAGTAATTTCTGATGTTTCCAAGAGGATACTTTCCCTCAAGTTTCCAATTGCTGGCCGCTGAACGAAGCTAACTTTAACTGCTACCAACAGCATCAGCAAGTGGATGTATAACTCATAATTTCCCTTCAATTAAACAACTACCATCAGTTCATATTTCACCTTTTTCACACATATGTACGTAAAACCTTAACCGGCTGGAAAAATAGCGCAACCTGCATGAAGGATCTTCATCGTCTCGCATGAAAAACCCACTGAATCAACATTTTGCTGCAACTTTGGAAAGTATCCTTGTTAAAACATTTCTTTCACCGTGACTGTTCACGCGATTTGGTAACCCAGTTTATCTTCGTCGCTAATGAAATTCACCCGTTCCACCAGGGCACAAGTGTTCTACATTTTAGTCCACCTACTATATGCAGAAAAAAAAAGAATCGACTGCTAATAGATACCCTGGTTACGTTACCTAAACGGCGAACTATAAAGAACACCCGGTAATTGCAGTCTCGGTCGCGTGTGACAAGCGGAAGTACACGTAGAAATTCGAAACAGCTTATCAACGAGTTGCAAGGCGGCGGCGGTGGCGGGAAGAGGAGGGAGGGGTGGTTAAACGAGTCAATTAGACAGTGTGTCTGAGCACACACAGCGCAAGAAGAAGGGAACAGTTGGCCGTGACTAAAGAGAACTTTCTGACGATTTGATGCGGTTACCAGACGCTGTTCGTCGAGGTCGTTTAGCCGCTGCTTCATGAGACTTAATTTCCCTGATTTTTAAATCGAATAAAGCCACGGAAGAGGCACGCCACGCGATAGACCGGACATCTTGTATAATTTAACAGAAGAGGGGAACTTTTCATTTCATCGTGTTAGATCTCTCTTGTTTTCGTGATTCTCTTTCTTCTTTAATTTTCTTATTTGATCAGGATTCAGAGGATTTCTTCGAACGAAAAAAATGTGAACAAGTGTGTGTGTGCAGCGTTGTACCAAGGTAATTATCGTGTATTATCAAAGCGACGGGGTACAGTAATTTCATGATTACGCAACGAAACGCGGCGTCGTGTTCCGTGTCTCGCCCTGCTATCGCGCGATGAAATATGCATGTCCATTTTGACGTTTGAACTTGTACTTATCGTTAATGCCGCTCGTCATCGTTATCTCACGGCCACGGTTCCACCTGGAGGGAGGTAACGATCGCGTGAAGATAGCGCTGGTTCGTTTGATTATTTCTATGTCACTCTGTGTGGAATGAATGGGGAAATGAAAGGTTAAAAAGCTGATCGATGATAGGGTAGCAATTCTTCCTCGTGTACTGTGTTTCCCTTTTCCTCTTATTTTTGTATCATCCTATTCCGGGTCAGTCACGAGAAGCAAACCACCTAAATATCTCTGTTGGGATTGAAGATGAGAGAATATGCTCAAGACAAAGGTTGTATTGTTCAAGGGGGCAAAGGTGATGGTACAAACAAACTTTTTGTTTGATGTTATTTTCAAAGTTATTTCAAGGTCGTTGATGTTTCTGTAAATGGCATCATTTAGTTTTAACTTCATAGCGTTATAGCTGATATCAAGACGAATTCAACAACTTCGCATACCATGACCTTGAAATGGCCTTTGGATTCAGAAGTCTAGGTTCGATCAACGAGAACATTAATGTGTGTAATTTACTTTCTTAACCTTTTCGCTAGGGCGCGTTTGTGACAAAATATGATCGCTATGAACGGAGCGCATTACTGACTAGTCGACACTGAGGTACATTTCATATCTGATTTTTCTTTCCCATATGTTTCCAATATCTGTCTTATAAGATTTAAATGAAATTTGGCAAACGATCATTTTGTCGCAAAAACAAAAACGAAACAAAAGTATATATGGTATGAACGTATATGTACGCTCTTCGTACCCGAGCGCCCACTTTTCGAGAGCGTATATATACGCTCTTCGTATATGAATGTTCATTCTTCGAGGGCGTATATATACGCCCT